TTAAAGGACAAAATATAATCGTTAGTTTATAAACCAAAGTCCAATAATACAAATATAATTGAACTTAATTTTATTCATTTGTTTCTGAACCATATACTACATTATGAAGAGTACTTTGATACATATCTTCTCATTGACAATATTTTTAGAAGAAAAAATTTAGAACCTTAAAATGCTTGAAATACTAATAATTACTTGAGCTAGCATTGGGCCCAATTCAGACCCTTCTATTAGCTGTGTAATTCTGGAAAATTTTTTAAGTTCTCCAAGCTTAATTTCTTCAATAGAAAAATGATAATAACATCTGCTTGGAAAATCAAGTGAATTAAGTGACATGATGTTACATTAAATGTTTGGCATAGTGTCTGGTACCCATGCACTCTGTAGATAGCAGCTGCTTTATTACTATCATTTTACCAGCATTATCACCATTAGTACTGTTCCTAACTTTACACTTAATTCTTTGACTAGTTATCCTTCTAAAACTTTGATCAAATCAACAATGTGATTCCTTTCCCATTGTTTTAACATTAAAATGCACTATAGTTAATATTGTCTAATTGTAGAGATTTCAGTCTCTTGGGCCAGGATGGGGTCTAGGGTGAGGCCAGTGAGGCACTTGCTTTGGGCACAAAACTTAAGGGGGGTGCCTGGTGGGGGTGCCAAAAATCACCATAATGAAGATAAATAATATTTTATCATAGTTCTTTAAAAATTGCAGAAATCCATGGTCAACAAAATATGAAAATGAAAAATTTAGGTAAAGGCAGAATCTGGAAGATTTACTGTGCTGAACCATGTTGGTGTGTGAGGCAAAAAGGGAAAACAAGTAATGTTGATCCTGTCTTGTCCTTCCTGAGCCATTTTGGAGCCTGAGGCAAAAGGAAAAATCACAATACCACTCCTGTGGTCTGGAGGAAGGGACTTCACCCTGCTCCACACCTTGCCTTACTGTTTAAATAGTTGATTTTATAAGAGAGAACAGCTCACCAGAATGATTTTATAGACTGTTACCTCCATTTTACAAATGAGTGCACAAGAAATCAGGAGCCTATTCAAATGCACAGAGACTTTAGAAAGGCGTAAGATCAGTGGAAACTGTATTCTTCTTAAGGAGGTTCCCCTTCCTCACAATTCAGAGTTCAGGTTTTAAGCAACTTTTTGTTATAATATTCCTTTAAGTGTTCTAAATATTAATGTTACTTGATTAGATATCTGTTACTTCATTAATGTACCACCTATATTGTTTTGTGGCAGTAGGGAGCTTTATATACAATAGCTATAAATAGCTAAAGATTTATATAAGCAAACAAGAAAACTGTTCTTGTGTTTCAAGTTGGCGACTCAAGATTATAATGAAGTTGATCTATATGACACAAAATATGTGCAAGAACTTTCACCCAATACTCTTTAAATTTCTTATTTTCCTAGGTAACCTTTTTTCTTTTGAATGTTTGTTTCTGTTAGGTGACAGTAAATTTAGTTTGTAATTTAATTTGGCTGTCAGAGTTTTTAGACTAATTTTTCAAAGTTATATTGTAAAATAAGCATTAAGTATTTTATTCAACTGTTGTTGATAAATGATAGCAGATTAATTAATATAACAGACTTTCTAGGTGAAATAGAAAGTATACTATAAAAAACAATATAGAGTGTACTTAAAATTCTGAAGTTTCTCTATGTGCATTTTAGGATGGCTTAAAACTTCTACTTTATTTGCTAATGATGGATTTGTTTGGATACACTATTTTTAGTTTTGTATTTGTATTTGGAGTTGTAATAACATAAGGAGGAAATGTATTACAAATTCATTTAAATAACACTTCCTGTTCACTTATCTGTACAGCAGATACACAGAAATATGTTTCCTATTTTGTTGTCTTAACTTTAAAACCTGGATATTCTTCAGTATTCTGTTGAAGGAGTAACTTTATTAACTTTAAGTTGAGTAATAAAGTATAAATATAAAATTCTGATTCTGTCACTTATAAACTGTGTTGGCTGGGGCAAGTTTTTTAACCTTTCTGAACTTCAATTTCTGTGCCTACTAAATGTGAGTATAATAATAGTACCTAGTTTATACATTGTTATGAGGATTAAAATGTTGACTGCATATATCATATATAATGCTTTGCACAGCATATGGCACAAAGTAGTCAAAAAGTTCCTATAATGAATAATAAATACCATATTGACCTGTATAATTTAGTTACAATTTTTGGTAGATAGACTTTGAAGTATAAGGTATCACATAATTTATGGTCAGGTTGAATGCTAGGTATTATTTAGGGTCTGTGAATGTGGACTCACAGTAACATTTTAAAGGAAGCTTTTATTTTTTTAGAAGTGCAGTAATTATAGAAAAACAAATACTAAGAAAGTGGTGAACAGTGATTTGGAAATCACAAATTTATAATCTAAATAGCTTTTATAAAAGTCACAGATGACCTCTCCGTTGCTAAAGCCTCTGTCTTGATTTACTTATCAGTCATAATCACTTTGTGGATCACTCTCTCCCTGGCTTCCAAGATACTATAGCAGTCTTGATTTTCTTCCTTCTTTACTGTGTGCTTCTTAGTCTCCAGTTCTCCACAGTCTCTCAATAGTGGTGTCTTCCAAGACTCCTTGGTCCTTTTTTATTTGTTTGCACTTATTCCTTTAGTCATCTTATCCAGTTTCATGGCTTTAAATACCACCCGTATGCTGACAACTCATGACTTTATGAAATTTTCAGCTGGAGGATAATTTGTGCCACATTTAACAATTGAAATTCCTAAAAAGATGTCTCCATCATTTTGCTTATCACTTTAGACATTATATACATATTTTTTTCCACCATAATAATTATAATGGGAAAAATTGGGTGTTGTCTTGTACCTATTTATTTAGAGAGACAGAAGGATAAATCACTCTCTCTGCCTTCCTCTGATGCTAACTTTTTACATACAGAAAGCCCATGTCAATTCCAGTATTGAAGATGATTCATGTACTTTTCAGCCAGTACTATTAGAGATGCAAGAGATCTGGTAACTGGCCAAGCTCTGGGGGCTTAGTTTAAGATTTTTGAAAGCTGTGTCTGACCTACCTTGTTAGGCAGTTTCGTATAAAACTTGGGCAATATAATTTTTTTTCCAGTGTTTTTTTTTGGGGGGGAGCTGGAATTTTCACTCCAGCTGTTTTCCCAGTAATCAGTCTGGTTTTGGTTCATTAGCACATTTAGGTCTTTTTAATTCGCAGTCATTGGTCTTACTGCTTTCTGCTCTAAATCCAGTAGATCTTTGTGAGCTTAGCTGCTTCTCATTGCTTGGTGCTTTTCTTTCTCGTTCTTGAATATTTTATGGTGGTGATGGGTTTTTTTTCCCTTTCAGTGGGTCTATGACTTTTAAATGTTCTCCTGTCATTTCTGTGCATTTGGAAGTGTCTTATACCTATTTACTCAGAAATAGGGACAAAAGTTAATTTTCTTCATTGCTATAAAGTTGTGGTTGTAGACTTTTCTTTAATGTAAGTTTATTCTTTTAAAAATTTCTTTATCTCAGTTTTAGTATCACTTTCTAAGAAAAGAATCACAGTTGGAATCACAGACACTGAAAAAAATCTCAACTGTGTAAGGTTTATATGAAACTACTTAATGAGGATATTCATAGACAGAGGCTTTCAGTCAAGTCTTGAGCTAACCTAGCAACTGAATCTCAGTATCAGTTTCAAATATTGAAAATACTGATATCTTTTAAAAATTCAGAATTTGTTTACTACACAGAATAAATTTCAAATGTAAAAATTTATAAACTTAGAACCTCAAGTATAAATGTAATTATATAAATATAGATTACCTCTGTATTATCTTCTAATGTAAATTATTAGTAAATTAAAGTATTAGCATTATTCAAAAACAAATACTACAAAAAAGCTAAATGCATAAATGAAATAGTATTTGATCTTTAAAGAACGGCTTAAAAAAAGCAAAATGGTGTTGTTGAGTTGAGCAGCTGCTCAGATATTCCAGCTGCTAAAAATGCTCTCTGACTTGTACACTGGTGGGGGATAAACTATTTCCAGATTTTTTCCTGTTTATTTAATCTTTACATAACCGCCTCTCTGATAACTTTTAGGGAGACTGTGGGGTAAGCAAGAATCCTTTTGCTAATATCAAGATGTAGTTTTGTTTCAAAGAAAGATTTCTTTTATCTTTGTTATGTGTAGATGGAGATTTATCATTTCAGTATCAAGTATTCATATTCCACTTTTTTGGGAAAGTCTCTGAACTAGAAGAGAATACTTATTCTTGTTAATAGAGGCTTCTGCCATGTCAATTTAAATTTTTTCTTCTTGTAGAGGTTAATGGAGGTACTACAGAAGAGGGCTTTCCAAATGAATGCACCTTTTTTGATTTGAAATTTTAATACAGAGTGTAAATCTGGATATATCTAAAAATATAAGTGATTCAAATTTTGCATTTTAAATTTATTAAAATACCAAAGTTGTACCAGTAAGGATATATTGGTATTTTGGTACTTAAAAATAGCCTAGCATGCTCAAATGCTAGTGTGAAAAGCAGTTTAGCTGTCCTAGAGAGGGGTCTTGTGGGTTGGGGTAAGGTTGCAGGGAGTTATCAAAATGTGAATTTAACAATGTCAACAGTTGTGTATTGCTTTTTTAATGTATTTTTTTCTTTCAGTTGAGGAAAATCAATATTGTTTTAATGTGTCTGCATTAATGGTATCAGTGGAATATACATAATTTTGTGATTAAAAATATTTATAATTTACTGGACATTTGAAGAGTGAAAAGACATCTGACTAGCAAAAATAATAGTGGATACATATTTAAAAATGACATTTTTCTATTGGCTTAAAGTACAATGGAAAACATGAAAGGATTAATCCTAATATCTCTGGCAGAACATTTATTCAATGAGAACAGCATGATAAAATGTAAATCTTGAGTGCTTGAAAATTATAACAACTTTTCCCCTCTTCTTTTTATGTTTTGTTATACAGGATGGATTAAATTCCTTGGTCCTTGATTTGGATTTTCCTGCTTTGAGGAAAAACAAGAATATAGATAATTTCTTAAATAGATGTAAGTATATGTAAACTTAATATTTGGCCACATAACTACTTTTGATAAGAGATTTATGTTTAATGTCATTACAGTCCACAAACTTGTAACTTATTAAACTTAAGTATTTTTTTAGTTTGCCATTTTATTTATTTGAATACTTAATATTCTTTATTTTCAAAGCAAACCTGCAGAACCAATTAAATTATGTAAAATAGATAAAGTTGAAGATTTTGTATTAATTAAGACTATTTGGCAATTTCAGGATAGGTCATTTATGGCAGTCCCAGGAGAAGTTTTTTTTTTTTAACATTTTTTATTGATTTATAATCATTTTACAATGTTGTGTCAAATTCCAGTGTTCAGCACAATTTTTCAGTCATTCATGGACATATACACACTCATTGTCACAATTTTTTCTCTGTGAGTTATCGTAACATTTTGTGTATATTTCCCTGTGCTATACAGTGTAATCTTGTTTATCTGTTCTACAATTTTAAAATCCCAGTCTGTCCCTTCCCACCCTCCACCCCCCTGGTAACCACAAGTCTGTATTCTCTGTCTGTGAGTCTATTTCTGTCCTGTATTTATGCTTTGTTTTTGTTTGGGAGAAGTTTTAAATTAATATTAACAACTCTACAACTTCACTTTACATTACCCAGGAGATTTAAAAGCTTTATATTTGGATAAATGTGGACATTTCAGTCTAGTCAGTGAAAGATAATGTGATAAGAATATTGCCGTAAATGTAGTAACTCTTAATATTTGCCAGTATTGATGTTGCAGTGAAGTTGCAAATGAAGTTGAAGTTCTAAGAATAAGAAATTCTCAAAATAATTAATATACACTTTATGTGAACACAGTAAATTCTTTAATTTAGCCAGAGACTGGGCTATTTTCCTGATTAAAAATCTTATCTGTAGCTACCAAATCTACTATATGTGATTACTATTTTTCAAAGAAGTAGGTTTCCAAAATTCATTATGAAGATTAAGCTTGCAAGTAATTTCATAGCCGGTTTCTGCCAGATTTAGAGTGCACTCCAAGATTGCTTGGGTCATCGCTGTTTCAGCTGTCATTTCACTTGTTAAGCAACAGAGTCAGAAAGAGAATAGCTTGACTACTACTTTTTGTTTGCAGGTTGTGTTTGTTTATGTGTATTAACCATAGAGTTTTCATTCTTTGATGTAAAGTTAATGTGTATCTTAGATTTTTAAACAGCAAACTTTTTTTTAAAACACCTTTATTGTGGTATGGTTACTTACAGTAAACTACACATATTTCAAATGTACAATTTGATGAATTTTATTAGATGTACATACCAATGAAACCACTACCACAATCAAGATAGCTAACATTTCCATCACTCCCCAGGAGGTACAGTTTTCAAATTCCCAATTTATCCCTTCCCACCCCCTTTCCCCTGGTAACCGTAAGTTTGTTCTCTATGCCTTTGATTCTGTTTCTTTTTTGTAGATGAGTTCATTTGTGTCCTTTTTTTTAAGATTCCACTTAAACAACAACCTTTAAAAACTGACAGATTTACCTGAAAACTAAGCCCAGTTTCTTGAAATAAGGATTTCAAGTGATCAAAATATTATTTATAAAAATGGTGATTAATATTACAAATGGCAATCTTTTTATTGTAGATGAGAAAATTGTGAAAAAGATCAGAGGTCTACAGATGAAGGCAGAAGACTACGATGTTGTAAAAGTTATTGGAAGAGGTGCTTTTGGTGAAGTCCAGTTGGTAAGAAAGAATTTTTGTTCTTTTTATTTTTCTTTTGATGACATGGTTTTGTGAAACATTGTCAGTGACCCTTGAGTAGATCTAATTTCTGTGCCCAACCATGCCAGAAGACTAGCTTTATGAGCTTGGTCAGATTATTCCATATGAGAGCCTCAGTGTCTTCATCTGTAAAAGAAGGCAGTGGTGTTCTAAACACCTGGTCTTCTCCAGCTCTGAAACACTGAGGTTTAGAATAAGGCCAGATCAAACATGATCTGCCTACATCTATTTTGTTTTTATTTAGTATATTCAGATTAATAAATCTCTGCTTAATTAATGGGGATTTATTTAGATATATGAGAAACCCAAAAAAGACATTTTAGCAACTGAAAGTAAATATAAAATTTACCTTTGTAGGCTGAAGTGATAGCACTAGAAATATTTTGCAAATATTTCAAATATTTTATTGATATTATTATATGAAGAACTATAATAATATTCCTATTTTCATCACCTGAATATGAAACCCCTTTTTTTGTCCTTCTGGTTATACTACGGAGTCAAATTCTGTAGTGTTCTCTGAGTGTTAATCATTATTATTGCCTGTTTGATATAGAGATTCTTATTACATGTGTTTGAAACAGGTACACTGTTTCTTTATACTTATGATTTGGTGTAATTGTGGAAGAGAGACTAGAATTTGAAGTTGTATTTTTGGAAGGAAATATGACAGACCTTGACTTGTCATGTTTTTGTGGCAGGGTAGTTATTGTTCTATGTTAGGTTAACTTGATCATTAAAATTCAATATTAAAGAAGGGAAAAGAAAACAGAAACAGGAAGCTTTTATTTTTGTTGTTAGTTTTCCATCCCATATTTCATTTTGGCTGTAAAACATGAAGAAACAAAGTCATATGTTTTTAAAAATGAAAAATATTTTAACATTCCATTAATCTAATGACCTGACCAGGGAGCTTGTATATGTTTGTTTTGGGTTTAGTTCTTGGTTCTGTTACCTTAGGCAGGGACTCTTAAAAAGAAGAATGAGACTGAAAAGGAAAAGTCCAAGTGCTTCTTTCATAACCTTTTAAAGTTGATTTGTTATTTGGTAGATAAATTTGTTAGGCAGATATGTAGGGAATGTTCCATGTTTGGCACATCTTTATGATTATGTTTTTTTAGTCATTTGAAGAAAGTGTTACAATAGGTGCAAATGTGTCTTTCCTTTTGAAAGTTAAAAATACAGCACAGACGACCTACCAATCAATTTCTACAAAGAAAAGTCTCATTGTAAAAGTGACTTTGGTATGTCACAGCAGCTATACCATAGTATAGGATCTAAAGTTGGACTACTTACAGTTGAATTCTGGCTCTTTCATGACTAGCTGTGACTTCAGACAAGGTTCTTCATCTCTCTGTGCCTCAGTTTCTTCTCTGTAAAGTGAAGATTACAATGACAATAGCATTTATACCTCATAGGGTTACTGGAAGAATTAAATGTGACAATATATAGAAAGTATTTGGAACAGTTCATGGAATAGAGTAAATGATCAGTAAATGTTAACAATTAATTGTCAGACATAAAATGTTTCATTTATTCATCCGTCAATGAAATATTTTAATCAGGATTTGTTATGTTCCAGGGGCTGTGCTAGCCTCTAAAGGGACAAGAGCGTAGCCTCTATCTTGCTGAAAGTGGTAGTTTTTGTGGAGGAGGTGAAGAATTTTATTTTAAATAAGTAAAGTATTTTCAGATTACAATAAATGCTATGAAGGAAAAGATCTGGATGCTGTGAGAGAATAATGGAGGGAATGTGCCTGCTTCAGACTGAGGAGTTAGAAAAGATCTTGCTGTGAGAAAGTGACATTTGAGTTGAGGTGAAGTAGTTGGCCACATGAAGAAGTGGGATTGCGGTGGGAGTCAAAACACAGAAGGAATACATAATGAAAATGTCGTGAATCAGGGAAGTGACAAGTCATTTAATTTATTTGTTTGTAGATTTTCCAATCAGGAAAGACGTTTCTTGAGGATTGACGTTCTGTAATTCTAGGAGGACAAAATATGTTCAGCCTGTTGTCTTTTATCTTTCTCTCCTATTTGCAGAGGAGATGTGTATTTGTGTTTTTATGTCATGAAAGGTCTGCAACAATGGATGATTCTATCTAATATTACTATTGTTTTTGGATTCTACTCTTTTGGGATATTTTGTCAGGTCTCATTTTTATGGACATAATATGATTCAGTATAATACAATTATGATCATGTACTCTAGACTAGGCTTTTCAGCTACCTAACTTCTTTGTGACTCAGTGTCCTCATTGTAAAATGAAGATAATAATAGTTCATTATTCATAGGTGGCTATAAGTGTGAAATGAGCTAATATATGGGAAATACCTAGAAGAGCACCTGACACATAGTGCGAAAGTAGTAAACTGTAGGCCAGAATTAGAGCCTGGAAAAGCAGTTAAGCTTCTTTTAGACTCATATTTTCATATTGGCTTAAAGAAACATGTTTTTATATTTAAGGTAATAATGTTCAACTTTTAATAGAGATTTTTGCATAAAGTACACAGGTACTGTGGAAAAAGAATCAATGTCAACTACTTTTGCTTCCATTCTATGGTATATAGATTTCCTGTCATCAAAGCTTTAATTTCTTTATCTTGGAGTGGCACTAATAATAGAATTACTTTATAAGATTTTTTTGAGGACTATATTAGATTATACATATGTGCTACTTATCATAGACCTGGCATATTGTAGGTATCACGTAATATTAGCTGTTGTCACTGTTGTCAGTTTCTGTGGATTTATGACATTAAATGAGTTTTAATTTTGAGTAAATAATCAGAAGTCTTGTTCTAATTTTCATATGTATTTATGTATGTAAATTCATTAGGGCTGCCATAACAAAATATCACAGACTGTATGCTTAAACAACAGAAATTAATTTTTTTAAATTTCTGGAGGCTAGAAGTTCAAGAGCAAGATGTGAGCAGGTTTGGTTTCTTCCGAGGCCTCTCCTTGGCTTACAGATGCTGCCATCTCACTGTGTCCTCACATGATCTTCCCTCTGTGCATGCACGTCCCTGGTGGATTAGGGCACCCTAACAGCCCCTTTTAACTTAACCATGTCTTTAAAGTCCCTGTCTCCGAATAGAGTCACATTCTGAGGTACTGGAGGTTAAGGCTTCAAAATGTTAATTGAGGGTGAGGGGGACACACGATTCACCTCATAACGGTATATATGTACGTTGGGATGAATTTTTCAGTGAGTTAACCTTTTTGGCCATAGTATGCATGCTTGCATATTAGCTGTAGAAAATACAAGTAAACAAATATAATGTAAATAAAAATCACCCAGAATTCCATCAGCTGAGATAAAACTGTTAACTCTTTTTGACCCTTAATATATTTTTTGTCTTTTTTTTTCATATACATAGAGTCAATTAGATGATGTTTTTGTACTCATCCACTTTTAAATTAGAAATGAGGAATACAGCATTCTTTCCTCTAACAAATAGAAGCATTGGAAGAGAAGCAGTATTTTTGTCCTTTAGGTAATCAGAGACTAGTGATGTAGGGGACACACATGTTCAGCTTCATAATAGAATAAACTGAGTTCCATTTGTTTATAGTAGAGGTAACTAACATTTTCACTGAGTGTATTCTGTGTGCTAAGTATTTATATTCATTGTTTCATTTTATCTTTGCAGTAGTTTTATGAGATTCTTAAGTAGATGAAGTCTTTGAAATTTAGAGGGATTAAGTAAATTGGCCTCATAGTTCACAAATAGATAGCTAGGACTTTTGCCTAGGTTTGTTGACATCTAAATTCATATTAAATTCAGTACTCTCTGTCTAGTGTGATAATGAATAGCTACTATATCTGATTGTTTTTCCATCCATATTGAATAAAGGAGAAGGAGCCAGAGAACAAAGGGGAAAGTACAGAGATGCTGAGGGAGATTATAATAGACTCATTTAGAAAGAGCTATCCTCAGAGGGAAGGTCAAAGGAAACCAGCTTTCCTAAGGTAACAACACTTTATTGTAGTACTTTGTAATACTGGTACTAACGTATTTTAAAGGTGTGAGGTAGACGTGTGGCATCAATACAACTGTTGCCTCTTAATGTTTGTTCTGTAGATCAAGTCGAAGACTACAAGCTGGTGATTCTTGATTCTTGTGTTATGAGTCAAGTCAGCTAAGTGTTCTATCACGGTAATTTAAATGAAATTCAGGCCTCATTAACTAGAGCAACTAACCAAAATACTCTTTATTTATTAAAAGTTCTATAGATTCATATAGAGATAGCTATAATTTTGTTGAATTTGTTGAATTGGATAATTCAGCATTGTGCCAACCACTAGGCAGCCCCACAAATCAAAGTTTGTGTTCTATTCCTAAAGGAGCTTATGAGGCAGACATCTACACAACTAATTATAATATTAGATTATTGCAAGCGCTTGGGAAGCACAGAGAGGGAAGCAATTTTGCATTTAAAAATTACCAAAAGTAAAGTCAATAAGGATTTTTCTCATGTTCAGAAGATCATCTTACGCGTGTTTTTTTTGTTTTTTGAATGAATGACCCTTTCCTTCTAGATTTGTTTTTGTTTAGTTAATTCATATATAAAAGGTTAAACATAAATATTTAACTGTTTTCTACCAGCTAACAAATATCTTTTAGTTCCTGTTCATAGCTGTTCTTTATATCAGAATTCTTAAAACTCTTGTCTTGATCTGAGTCAAGCATAAATAATATTATAGTATAAATTAATTGATTGACTTAATGTTATATGATTGCTTTTTCTAATGAAGTTAGGGAACATTCAAAATCTAATTTGTTCTTAGAATAAATGAATGTTTGAAGAATGGGATAAATACAGAAGAGAGTACTTTAGCTATCTTTTAAAAATAACAGTTTAAACTTTTAAAAAAATAATATTTAACAGTATTGGTGGAATGAGCATTTGCTTTGACATAATTTGCTAAGTAAAAATCTACTGTGGAGGGGAT